ATTTTTCGGGAATTGGTCATTTCTACTCAGGGTACCTCAAAACGTCTATTTCTGTTGAAAACTCAGATTCAAAAATTTTCTCGATCGCAATACTTACCCTTACTATATATTACATATATACGTAAGTGAAAGTAATACAATATATTACATTTATACGTAAGTGAAAGTAAAAATAGTAATAATAATCATTGCGGAGCATGGGATAAAAGCTTCTTAATGTTGCTTCATAAAAGTTGACGAGTCCTTGTATAATTACATAATCTCTAAACTAGATGGTCATTTTAAATCTGACATTATAATTTACGTTTGTGTTCTCGAAATGTCAATAAATTATGTCTAGGAAACTGACATTATTTTTTGTTTGTTTATTTTCATTTAATTACTAGAATAAATTATGATTTTCAAGAGATTACAACAAAAAAAAAAAAAGATTTAGTATCTTGATTTCACTAACGATAAAACCAATTTGGATGACAGAAAAATTCTAATGTCATGAAGACTAGTCAGGTTGTTAGAGAAATAAATTTGTTATGATTGTACAATTTGTGGTAAATCGCTATAATCAAGTAATTAGTTTTGGATTTATTAATCGAACAGACAAGTGAAAAAAAAATGTTTTATTGTTAATTCCATTTTAGATTTTAGTATTTATAATTTGTTAATATAAAATATTTTAAAATGTCCAAATATCCATTAGTGCTGGTCCTTATGAAGAATCAAGAGGGCGGAGGTTAGAACGACATATATAGGAGGCAGTTTATTACCTGCAATGATTTTTACTTTCACTTACCTATGTATGAAATATATGTATAGTAAGGGAAAGTATTGCTATCGTGAAAATTTTCGAATCGGTTTTCAACGGAAATAAACGTTTTGAGGTACCCTGAGTCGAAATGGCCAAGTCCCGAAAAATAGTCTGTGTGTCCTACGAAAAGTCCTACGAAACTGATATCACGTATTTAAGATAGGTATATGCCTTAGATTTGACGGCAACTTTTTCCTTAAAATCGGCTAACCGGAGGTGCCACATTATATCAACGCTGAAACACATTTTCACAATTTATTCAAAAACGGCTCTAACGATTTTGATTAAACTCGGTGTATCATTGTATAATTAAGTGGTCTTTAATATCAATTAGGTCTTATCCCCATTGATGTCACTTTACAGGTCGCAAATGCCCAATGTTCATATACGTCTTCCTCAAAAGTACCTTAAATATGGTTTATTTTAAAAAGTTAATCATTTCACATTATTTAAAGCAATGAAAAATTGCTAAATATAACTTTCGAAAGAATTTGATAAATTAATAGAGGAGAAAAAAAAATCAGAAAAACCTACGTTGCTATAGACTGTAGCGCCTAAACGGATGTACAGATTTCAATGAAACTTCGCTCAAGTCATTTTCTCGACACCCATTAAATTTATCTATTTATCAACGAAAAGAAGCTGGAGAAAGAGTTAAGAGGTATGGCAAAATTAAATTCCGAATAACTCAAAAAGTATACACTTTTTTGGTGATATTGTGATGAAATGTTTCAAAGCTATTTAAATTGCCTAAAAAACAAAAGAAGCTTCATCGAAATCGAAGCACTATTAGTAGAGATATCGCGATTTTTAAATATTTTTACTTTCACTTACGTATATATGTAATATATAGTAAGTGTAAGTATTGCGATCGAGAAAATTTTTGAATCGGTTTTCAACGGAAATAAACGTTTTGAGAACCCCTGAGTCCAAATAATCAAGTCCCGCAAAGTGGTCTGTGTGTTTTAACAGTCTAGCTCAAAAATGAAAAGTTGTACGAAAGTGAAGTTGCATATTTAAGGTTTTTATATGCTTGGGATGTTAACAAATTTTTCGTCAAAATTGGCTAATAGAAAGTGGCACTTTATATCATGGAATAAACATATTTTTACGATTTTCTCGAAAACGATTTTGATTAAATTCATTATATGAGTGTAAAATTAATCAGTTTTTAATAAAATTTAGTTTTTATTTTGATTTATGTTCTCTAACAGAGCTTAAATGACCAATTTTCAATACGAGCTTCCCCTAAGGTACCTTTATTTTAATTTTATTTTAATCAATTGACCATTTTACGTTGATCTCTAATATAAAAGATAGTGAAATATAAAATATGAAAGAATTTGATAATTAAGTAAAGGATAAATAAGAGATCGTAACGGAGAATAGTTGTAATTGAGGAAGCAAAGGAATACGAGCTCGCCCGAAAGATAAGAACACGCTTCCATAGGTAACATGAGCTTTATATAATATTAACTTCAAAAATATTATGCGAATATACATATGTGGTTTTCATAAATGCTGTTGTGGATCACCAGCCATTTTGGGATTCCGGAAAACGTTGAGGCTGATATTCTCTCCAAGCGAGGAACAGATTTACCTCAGCCGATACATCCAAAACGTTACGACTCAATACGGCGAATGGTACAGTTTGTAGGGAAGGAAGAAATAAGAAAAGCACATTTGGGCAAAGTGGAAGGGAAGCGTTACGAGTGGTTGAAAGATAATCCGATTTCAGCTGACCTACCAAGAAGAGTCAGCAGCGACAAGATAGGCGTGGCTGAGGACCCTAGCTGTAAATTATGTCATCAAGGAAGAATGGATGCAGACTATCTAGACGCATGTCCTGCCTTGAGGGACATAAGAGAAAAAATATTTTCAAATATATATATATATATATATATATATATATATTAGAAAATATAAATTATACTGTGCAGCAAGATGTCGGATGGCCAAATGTCCAACGACTGGCGTAAGAGAAAAAAAAATGCTATTGCTGAAAATGAAATGAAATGAAAAAAAATATTTTATTATTCTGGGACTATTGTCCCTTTAGAACAAATTATAAATATAGATTGTATGTCTATGTGGTTACAATTAGATTATATATTTACAATAAGAGTTGACTAAAAATAAAAATACTGAAGAAGAGAAAGAAAAGAACAAGAAAATTGTACATATATACGAGAAACTAAAATAATCCAAATAAATTGAGGTAGTCTATGGGGGTGCTTAGATATTTCTCTTAAGTATATTTCGCAATCAGTCGGATTGAGAAAGGAGTAGGTGTTTAAAGAAGAAACTGATTGTGCGTGTAGGATAGTGCTGAGATGAAATTCCAGAAGGAGGCGGCTTGTATTGCAAAGGATTTTTCAAACACAGCAGTTCGGTGAGGAAGAGGATAGAGGTCGGAAGTACGAGATCTAGTGGGATGGAGTATTTGAATTGTAAGCTGTGAAAAATATAGGAGGGTCGATGAGTTCTAATGATCTGGAACAGAAAGGTGGCTAGGAAGTACTGACGGCGATAGGATGGGTAGAGCCACCTCAACTCAGTGTAATACTTGGTAATATGCGTATCCCTTGAGATTCCGAAAACAAATCGTAGTGCGCAATTCATTAGGCGTTTAAGTTTGACCTCGGAATCTCCCGAGAGTCCACCGTACACCATACAGCCATAGTCGAAGTGGGGAAAAACAAGGGAGGAAACTAGGAGTTGACGGGACTTATATGGAAGAAGATATCGTAGACGGGTGAACTGTTTTAGGGTGGAGATAGTGCGACGGGAAATTTGGGAGATGTGTGGTTTCCAGGATAGGTTTTGATGAAAAGTAACACCTAGGTTTTTAAAAGGTGGTGTGGAATAAGATGGGTGAGTTGTTCAAGAGGAGATTGGGAGTTTGCTGGCATTATTTAATACAGGTAGACCCGTGCGAAAACTTGGCACAGCATATTGTTATCAAATGCCAAATTAATAAGAAAATAAAACAATGGAACGTATTAACAAAAGATTAAGAAATCAAATGTTACTTTATCGATAAATATAATGGAAAAAGAAAACAAAAATTAATTTAAATCTTCATTTTTGTTAGGAACCAACATATTTACAAATTTCAGTAAATTTTTCTAAAAATTGTCCGATTTCAATGATTTTGTTTCCTAGTGTAGGAAATTAAGTAATCTTTTATATAATAATGGGCATAAACAAGGGAAAAGTGTGTAATTTTTTAGTTATTCGCAAATAAAGTTTGTTTTCTTTCATAACTTGTTTGCCTGAATTTTCGGAGTGATTGGACTATTTTGCCAGCCTGAAGGAGAAGGAAACCTTCGAAATCGGTGGCTCAATCTTGAGATTTGGTGAAAAATTAATGATAATATGGCTTACCGATCAAAAACACCATCGATAAATAATATAAACTCCTCCTCCATGAAATGAGACATGTATTCAATGACAGTACTACAATTAGCTTAAGGTTGTGTGGATGCGAATCCTATGCCTTGCGTTATCTCGAAAATAGTACTTTTTTGGGCTTAAAAACGCAGGATCCGATAGTTCCGGATTTTACTTTGCTATACGCATCAAAATCTTCAAGATCCAATTTGTCCCGTATCTATCTACAGACATACCACCGTTCCCGTATTGAAGCCTAGCAAAATGTTTGTATCGACTTTATTTATTTTAGAAAGAAAAACGAAAGTAGAGAATACGATTCATCGTATTTGAGCATGACAGGAGCTTATATTTGGTACAAAACCGATTTCGAGCCTTACGGTGATAATATATGTGGAATTATAGATTACAGCGATATAAATATTAAAATTTGTATCTGTATTTATACAAATAAAAATACCCAAAATTTGAACTATCTACTTTGAAAATACCCACTTTCCCTATGTTTAAAAGAAGAGGGTGGTATGTGGAAATTGGGTGATGCACGCACCGCACCATATTTTGTTTTTTCATCCGGAATAAGGCCATTCAGTAACAAATCGATCAACTTTGAATTGGCAGACGATTGCAAAATAATTGCTGAGGATGATGAATGAATAAAAATGTTTCTTGAAATAAGTAAAAAAAAAATAATCACCTCGACTTTTATACTTTTATTTTGAGCTCGTTTGGGTTTAATAAACTGGTCTCGATAAAGAAAACACGCCCCTAGCTGCCTGATTTATGTCAGCCGATGCAAGGTCTGGGATATAAGGAAAAGATGGGACAAGATATCATTGAAATAGCTGGAGTGGGAAGGTGGCTTATCTAATACCTAACTTGTACCTTCAGTCCACTAGCTGACCTCAACATGCCTATGTTCGCAACTGCCTTCTTGGTATGCTCTTCTCTCGTCGTCTTCTTGGATGCTGCAAGTTTGCGTCAGTAATTTAAATATAATTATAATTTTTTTCTATATTTAACACTTTAATTTAACTATATTCTTTATTATTTTACCCTATTTACAACAATAGAGCATCTAGAAAATCTGATGTAGACATCAGATGTTTATAGTCTGTAGTACAGACTTCCTTTTATTAAATTATTAAGATCAGACTGAAACTTTGTAAACAGCTTCATCTGATCGTAACCTAGAAATATTTTGTTTACGAAAATTCTTGGAAATGAGGCCATTTCAATCTGCAAGTCGGCAAATTTAGTCTATTTATTTCTTTCATAATTCCTAAGGGAGATTTTTTTTTATCTGAGGAATATAAATAAAAATTAAGTAACACCTTTACTCCCTCGATCAATCTCCACAGGCTTTAGTACCAGTAACGCGGTTGAGAGAGTAGCGCAGGGTTCTCCTGGAGTTCCCACACCTAATTGTATATAGGTATCCATGTGTTTTTTTTTTTGCTTAGTTTTATTTTCTTATTTTCTTATCTATTGTATATACTTTTGATTATTGTTTTGTTTCTATTTATTTTATTTTTTTGTACATACAGTGTGAATGTCATCACTACCTCACTATAACAAAACAATAAAAACTCCCTCGACAACGTTTTCTTTATTTTTATGACGTTTCGGGATCACTTCATAATCCCATCTTCAGACCATATCTAATCCTTCTTTCATCTTATTTAAAAAAAAAAAATTTTGTCATAATTTGTTTATATTTTCATAAATCATCCCTTAATTATATTGTGGACTTCTCTAAGAGGCCTGACTAGGTTCTTCCTAGAGGAGTCCACAATATAATTAAGTGATGATTTATGAAAATATAAAAAAATATGACACATTTAAAAAAAAAAAAAAGATGATAGAAGGATTAGATACGTCTTAGATACGGTCTGAACATGGGATAATAATGTGATCCCTAAACGTCATAAAAATAAATAAAACGTTGTCGAGAGAGTAAAGCTGTTACTTAATTTTTATTTATATACCTTAGTCTATTTAATTAAGTGCTATAACACATAAATACTCATTTGCTTTCCACTTGAATCGTAATATAATTTGAGATATCAAGGAAAAAGGTGGCTTTCAAAAATATTGAGCCGTCTGGCGTGACCTAAAAATTGTCAAAATAACGACGTTATATAGTACAAACGGCTCAGTATTTTAGTAAGCCATCATTTTTTCTCGATATTGTGATCCGACTATTCAAGTAGAAACCAAACGGGGTGAAAGCCACCTTTTTCCTTGATATCTCAAATTATATTACGATTCAAGTGGAAAGCAAATGAGTATTTATGTGTTATAGCACTTAATTAAATAGACTAAGGTATATAAATAAAAATTAAGTAACAGCTTTACTCTCTCGACATTTTTTCTCTATTTTTATAATGTTTAGGGATCACTTCACTATCCCATCTTCAGACCGTATCTAATCCTTCTATCATCTTATTTTTTTAAAAAAAGATATGTCATATTTTTTTGTATTTTCATACATCATCCCTTAATTATATTGTGGACTTCTCTAGGAGGTCTGACTAAGATCTTCCTAGAGGAATCCACAACATAGTTAAGGTTTATGAAAACATAAACAAATTATGACAAATTTTTTTTTTTTTAAATAAGATGAAAGAAGGATTAGATATGGTCTGAAGATGGGATAATAAAGTGATCCCGAAATGTCATAAAAATAAAGAAAACGTTGTCGAGGGAGTTTTTATTTGTTTTGTTTTTTATTCCTTCATTGAGTATTACAACAATCTGTCTCTTGGACATTGGTTATAGTGAGGTAGAATGACATTCACACTATATGTACAAAAAAATAAAATAAATAGAAACAAAATAATAATCAAAAGTATATACAATAGATAATAAAATAAAACTAAGCAAAAAAAAAAAAAAAAAAAAAAAACACATGGATACCTATATACAATATTTACAATCTGGCGAGAGAAATCCAAACCAGACTTGTCCCTCCAACTGAGACTGACAAGTATGACTCCAGGGGATCCCTGCACTTCTCTCTCAACCGCGTCACTGGAGCTAAACCCACTGGAGATTGAGGAAGAGTGCTTTAGCCTCGTGAGTTTTTAATACGTAATTAAATAGACAAACTTTGTTGATCTCCGGATCGAAAACGCCCGAATGAAAATGTTTGTAAATAAAAATGTCGTAGGTTGGGATGAGATAAAGCCATCCACGACGTTTTAGAAGGATGTTAATAATATGATAAAAAGGGGTCTGTAAAATTAAATCAGCAATGTGGTAATTTGTGCCGAGGATTATCGAACTATTTGACGCGACACTTCGCTCTACCAGAAATTATATTTAACGTTGAAGTTGTGAATTTGGTGAATATATCGTCAATTATTTGCAAGAAGTCACTAGGTAAATTTTCAATGAAGCTTAACTATTAAACATATTTATTTTTTATTTTTAACTAGAAAAAAACGAAATTGAAGAAGAGATTAAGGTTAGACTGAAGGCGGGAAATGCTTGTTATTTTTCTGTGACAAAACTACTTAGTTCGCGCCTCTTGTCCCGGAACTTAAAAATTAGAATCTATAAAACAATTATCTTGCCTACAGTTCTTTATGGATGCGAAACTTGGCCGCTTACATTAAGGGATGAGCAGCGTCTTAAGGTTTTTGAAAATAAAGTATTGCGTAGAATATTCGGACCGAAGAAGGATGAGTTAACCGGAGAGTTCAGACGGTTACACAACGCCGAATTGCGTGAGCTGTATCCGGGTAATATAATTGAGGTAATTTCATCGCGGCGAATCAAATGGGCTTGTAAAGTTGTTGGGCTTAGTAACGAGAGAATTCCTAAAAGGTTAATATTTGCTGTGCCGAATGGTAAGCGTCCGAGGGGTAGACCGAAGCGAAGGTGGGAAGATTGCATTAAAGCTGATCTGAAGGGATTGGGTTTGGACGGCGAACGGTGGAGGGAGGTGTGTAACAAGCGATTGGTGGTGTCGGCATCGAACCTTCGGGTTCGCTAAGCCTTTTTATTTTATTTTTTTTTATTTTTTATTTTTTAAATTTCTTAATGACATTTACAACTGTATTAAATAAATACATCTAGTAAATTTGAACATAATGGATATAATGACATGAAAACACTATGGTTTATAATGGACCTAATGTTGGTTTACGAAGGATTTTGGATTGTAAGGATTGGATACGAGAGGAATTCGATGGTTTAGTGGAGCCCCATAGCTCAATTCCGTAAGTCCAAATAGGTCTTATTATTGTCATATATATGAGTCTTTTGTAATTAATTGGAAGCTTAGAGCGTTTGTCTAGTAAGTGCTGAAGTAATCGGAAACGTCGAGCGGTTTCTTGTCGTTTCAGTCTAGTATGAATTAAACATATTTAATTTAGTTTAGTTTATATATATTTAATTTTAGTATTATTGTTTTTTCTGTATTATTGATTTTTAGTTATTGTTGATAGAGTGCTCTCTGAACACTATTATAAATGTCCTTATTTGTGACAGATTGTAATATCTCTCAATAAATAATAATAAAAAATAAATTAAACATATTGTGGCGAATTCAGGTCTTAAAGTGCACCAAAATGGCACAAATATATTTATATATCAAATATAGTGACATTTAAAGTTAATAATTGTATAGTTACAATTTTCTGGTTCCACAAAGGGAATATTCATCGAAATTCTTTATGATTCAAGGTTATAAATTTTCACATACATTTACATATCTGGTTAAACATCGTCATGCTCTGGTAGATTGAACGAAATCTACGCCGAAAAGTGAAGTGGTAGTCACTAGACCATGACTATAAGACTAAATATTGGTAGACGTCTATTATCCTAACAATCTACCAATAGTCCGTGGTACAGACCCCTTTTTATCGAACTATTAACATCCGCCTGAAATTTCGTGAATAGCTTCATCTCATCGTAACCTACAAATATTTTATTTAAGAATATTCTCGGAATTGGGGCGTTTTCAATCTAGAGATCGGTGAACTTTATATTTGATTTTAGATATCAAAAACTCGTAATACCATTTGCTTTGCATTACTGGAATCGTAAGAAAATTTATTCACAAAATTGAGAAAAAAGGTGCACTACAAAAATATTGGGCCGTTTGGCCTATAAAACCTTGCTATTTTGACATTTTGGGAGTGTAGGTCAAGTCAAATGGCTTAATATTTTTTTCCTCTTGACCACATTTTGCATTTGTGCTCGAATTACGATTCTAGTGGAGATCAAATGGGTATTTAGGAGTTTTTGATACCAAATTAAATAGACAAAGTTGACCGATATCCAGATTGAAAACGCCCCAATTCCGAGAATTTTTGTAAATAAAATAGTTTTAGTTTACGATGAGATGAAGCAATTTACGAAGTTTCAGGTGGATGTTAATAGTTTGATAAAAAAGGGTCTGTACCACGGCCTATAAGGTGATTAAATAGATTCCCTAGGATGTGATATAACGATTTCTGTGGTTGGTTTTATTTATATAATTCCAATATTTAAAATTTATGGAGAGTGGAGTAGCTCAGTGAGTTAGACTCTGGGCTGTTAAGCTTCAAGTTTCTGGGTTCGAATCCGACTGAACTCATGTAATTTTTCATCAGCCGTGGATCGACCAAAGCCCTAGGAGGATCGGGAGATCCTCCCAGGGCACACCCAGCATATAAATAATTAATTAATGGAAAATCTTGGCGTTTGAGCGCGTTCCTGTCCAGATCATCTCCCTGCACAACCCTTGGTCTTGTAAGAGTACTTCCTAACAAAGTACTGAACCCAAAATCCTTCATGGATTGTAGTGAGATAGGTTTATTTTATTTCTTAATTGAAAAATTACATTAAATTAATTTGGGAACATTAACAATATTTGGAGCCATGAAAGGGCCCTCCTCTCCCCTCCCCCTCCCCGAATCGTTCTACGGGAAAAAACCTCGTGTACTCTAAAAGGCAAGGAAAGAAAGAAAACAAAAAATATATATAT